ATATCTTTTTGGATCCAGTTGGATACACCTTGGATACGGTTCTTGTACTTTTTTGCAATGAGTGATGGATGGTAACATTATAACTGTACCGCTATTAGCAAGTAATTGCTAAAAAAAAAATAAAATCAGTAGTAAATAGACATTTAAATTCGGCCAATATTGCAAACCGTTATTTATGTACTCTAGAACAGCAGAATGTTTAGGTGACACTGGGCTGCTGTGCTGAAATGTCTGCATGTTATATTTCTCCACTGTGCTAATCTACATTTTCTAAATCTGCCTGGGCATCAGCAGATATGTACATGAAAAACATTGGCTCACAATTTTCATATTGGTGCATCCCTGCTTCTAACATCTAAATTTGAATGCCGGCTCTACATTCCACATTCAGTGTTTGAAGAGAATCGTCTCCACAAGATTTCACAGTATTGGTTTCATGTACATTCCTGTCCTGCAGGACACACATTTGTCCAAACAACATCCTTTGGTACTCAATAACATCAGACCCTTTGTTCTTCTGATGATGTTTTTGCTGAGATTTCTCTTTTTCCAGCTTCTGTCATACACTACCCTGATTCCCTTACTTACTATTTTCTTTTTACAAGAAATCTAGCATTTTATGTTTTAAATGTCCTAAAGGTACAATTTGTAATGTGGATTTAGACTTTGAAACGGTATGTTAGAAACAGATTGACATTGCCTATTTGTGATGTCCTGGCCCTTGAAAATGCAAAGCCTGTTGCCCCAGTGACCATTTGTTTTGGAGACCCACCGCCTTAACTAACTACCAGACCAGTTTAATTTTCACACATTCACAAATATCTGTGATTAATAGCAAAACAACTTTTCACTAGGCCTGGGCGATATAGGAATATGCTGTTTTGTTGTTAAACAAAAACTGCTGCAGCTTAGGTCTACTTTCTTTGCAATCTTCCTATCTTGAGAGTATATGCTTTTTTAGTATTAACTGATATAATGAAACTCTTAAATGAAAGTCACAATAATAAGTACTTTGGCTTTTTTTGGTAGTACATTTCACTTCTTATTTTGAAGGTTGCTGGTGGTGTGGGTTCATGGACAAGTGTGAAAAATCTACACTTCTCATCTTGCTGTTTCTGGCCAGGACATTCCAATTTCCAATACAGTTTAAAATTTGTGTGTCAGGTTTGACTCTCATCTGAACTTTGAGGCCCACATTCAAGATTTGTGTAAAACCTAATTTTTTTAATCCAAAACATATTTCCAAACTCTCTTCTGTTCTAACACTGTCCAAAGCAGAGAGGCTTGTTCATGCTATTATTTTACTGAGGCTTAATTATTGTAATGCGCTTTTTACTGGTGTATCAGCCAAGTATGTTTAGAAGCTCCAATATATTCAAAATCGTGCAGCCAGGATACTCACAAGGGTACAGAAATATGAAGTGTTTGCACTGGCTTCCTGTTTCATACAGAATTTGCTATAAAATTCTCCTTGTAACTTTTCAACGTGTTCATGGACACGCACTGGATTATGCCAAGGAACTTCTTATACCATGTTATTCTAGTCACAATCACAGATCTAACACAAATCATCATCTCCAATTTCCCAGAACTAAACTGCATACAATGGGTGATGGATTATTGTTATCTTTATTTTTATTATTATTATTATTATTATTATTATTATGGCTGTTTTTACACTTTAAATAATGCACACAAAAAACAACTGTGTGTTAATAGCGCCTCCTTGTGGAGAAATCTCAGACTGCTAAACAGGCATGAGTGAGTGATGTTTTCATTAATCTAAAGTTGTAATAAATATTTCATTTTCAAAGGTACTGAAGTATGCTAGTTAATTGTAAATAATATATATACGTACGTACATACAGTACATGTTTTATAATTCTGGGCACAGATTTTTAACTTTGTCCACAAAATTCACTGGCTTGGCCCAAGTGGTACAGTTTTTTTATATCTGTCTAGCTCTGGTTAGAAAAACCGAAAGAGAATGGTTGGACAGAATCCAACAACAACGTTTGTGTCCCATGCTAGATTTCTTTTTATTCCCCTGTTCTTTGCACATCAAGAAGAAAATGTTTAGCTTAATGAGATGTGCCAGTATGTAATAGATGGTCCAGCACCTTGAAGAGAAATGTTTTGAAGGTCTGTGTTTAAGCCCTGGCCTACTCCCACTCATATTGTGCAATACACTAGTTGACGCTCAGTGGAGTGTGCTGTGTATACATTTCAGATGGTGATATTAATGTTTTACTCCACTGCTAAATCAAACTACGGAAGTGTGCACTAGAGCCCCAGACAAGAGTTTGTACACATCACACGCAAACATATATGCAGGCCATCACCTGCTGCCAACAATAACAGAATTGTGAATTGTTTAATGTTTTAATGTGTGTGAATGTTTTGATGATCTGAATATGGTGGAGTTTCTGTCTCTCTCCTTTTGTTAATCAGCCCAGTCTCTGTCCCTAGGAGTATTCTTCCAGTGTTTATGCATGGTGTCCAAACGTCTGAACCCAACTCCAGATTGTCATGCAAACAGGGTCCCTCTGTCGGCCTCAGCTTAAATGTGTTTTTCTGCAGCAGAGTTTACTACAGGTGAAAGGAAAAAGGCATTTTTGGCATCACTTTTAGTACTCTGTTACCAAGGCCCTGTTTTAATAGGTTTGGTTCTTGTACTTTCACTTGGCTGGACTCTGTGTTTATAGTGTGGAGTTTTGCATTCCTAGATGGTTGAGTTTGAACACCACTACCAAGCTTTGGAGGCTGGTCTGTTGATATTAGAACCCCCACCACTCCCCCCCCCCCCCCAACAAAACCTTCTTCAGTGTGGTACTAAAAGACAGGCCCAAAATAAGAGCTCAGCATGTAAGAAATGCTGGAACTCCAAATGCATTTGTCCAGAACAGCACTGCTTCTCATTAGCCATGGCTTACAGCAATCCCCTTGTTTCCTCTTGCTGCTGCCGAACTTTATTTTATCGCTGGAACAACATCAGTGAGCCCTGATATAGAGGACCAGCAGCAGCACCAGCATGTAGCCGCCGTGTTTAGAGGGACCAGTCCACTTCTAATGATTTGTATTTTTTCCGCTTTCTTAGAAATGAACTTCTCATTGTCCTTCTAGTGAGACCAGGCCCTTGAAATGTGGTGATCTATGCATTTTTTGGAGTGTTAGTTAGAGAAAGGCAAACATTCTGGAAAGGAGTCATAATGTTCTCTCTCCCTCATGCCTAACCGGTGAAAAACCTGAATATGTGAAAGATTTATTTATTTTTCTTGTCACCTTTTTAATTAATAGATAGGCTCTCTCCCATTCCCATTCCACCGCAGTGATTGAGAAAGGGAATGCATTGCCAAAATTCACATCTAATTTTTTCTGCTTTGTCTAAATGTGCAAATGTGTCCTTTTCTTTGACTTTATCCTTAGGTGGTTCTGCACTGATTGCTTTCACATTGACCAATATATGCCTCTGCTGCTTAAAATGGTCTCTAAAGATTTATGAAATGACATGGGGAGAAACTTTATGCCCATTGACCTGACATGGAGGGAGTTTTATAGTGTACTTAGGTACATTCACCTAAGTTAGTCAGTAGAATAAATATAATATATATAATACTTTTCAGTTTCTCTGCCTAGGTCAGGGGTTGGTAACCCAAATGTTAAGAAGAGCCATTTTGTCCTTTCAACAAAAATCTTACCACCTTGAGAGCCACAATATTTTATGTCTATTTTACCGTCTTGGCTGTAAATATGTCTGAGTATGTGCTAATCTATTAGGTAAGGCTAAAACGTATAATATAAACAAAAATGCAGACTTTGCTCTGCTTTAAGTTTTAGCTCAGCTATAGCCGCATTTCTCACATCTCCAGCAGGAAACTTTTCCACAAAAGTATTTTTTTGTAAAATGTCTTTTAACATTCAACTTTTTTACAAGGCTGTTGAACTTCGCCAGTTTGCCAGTTTCTTTGTTTCGCATTTTCCCGTTCCACCTTAAATGGGGCCTGAGGCACCAAAATGTGCCTGTGGCACCATTTAAGGTGGAACAGGACAATTAAAACGAGACGCTGACTTCAGCATCGTGACTTTTTTTAGTGTTTGATAGTTTCTCATTGCAGATTAAACATACCAAGAAATGAGCTGGAATGCCTATAAATGCAAATATGTCCACTCATCTCTATATTATTGATGTTCGTCTTAAATCTTTCTCTTTGCCTTTTTGTTAGCTACTAGCCAGGCAAGATTGTTTGTGTTGCTGTGTGACCAGCAGTCTGTGCGCCAGCCTTCAGGGTTAAAGGGTGAATTAGCAGTTGTAGGCTACATTAACTCCAGCATTTAAGCTAATTTATTGTTAAAACTGCATTAGAACGATCAGCAGTTACATCATTTTATTTTTACCTAAAAAAAAATCTAATTCTGCTGTGGAGCCACAACAGGGCAGTAAAAGAGCCGCATGTTGCCGACCCCTGGCCTAGGTGTTTCAGTGACGTTATACAATATACAAATTATTACAATATTATATAATTATATACAAATGATACCTTTAACTTGAAGGTAAGATGAGGAAAAGCAAGAGACTCTTCAGGTTGTTCCAGTGAAATTTCCCTCACTTGGTTGTTCTCCTTCATGCAGTCAAACTGTACTGTGTTGATTGTATTAGAAAGAGTGCCCTTGATTCCGTTTGCCTGTTATCATGACCTTATTTCTGCATACCAGCAGGCTGACTAGGCCTAACCAGACCCTTTTTTAATAGACTGAATTCAGTCTGAAGCCTTGATGTTTTCAGTTGTGCTTTGGTTGTAAACCATGTTTCACAATCAAACAAGATAAAAAACAGGACTCTTGGAGTGAAAGTATCATGTGGCAAGGTCTTGGTAAAGCAAAGGGAAATTGGAATTTAGACCAGGGGTTAGAGGCTTATGATCAGAGGAGCCCAAGTTAAACAGTACATTCATGTTGGTTATCTCGCCTTAAACTTAAAGGAATTCCTGCTTTCCCTACAGAGCCAGCAGCAGACCTTCCAGTTTCCAGATATCTTCCCCGAAAAGGAAAAAAAGCATGAGGAAGGCTCTGTGGAGGAGATGCAGGAGAAATTCATGGAAGATGAGCGACAGAGGCAGAAACCAGACCCCAGGAGAGGGGGAGTCACTGAATGGTTTGGTCTCTAAAAACAGCCCCTCCCAACCCACGTCAGAAAAAATGAGAACTGCGCGTGGGATGTTTATGTTGTATCGCCAGGTCATTTGCAGGAATATACTCGGGACCTGGCCCATTGATGGAGGCACTTCTGCTTCCTGGACATGTTCTGTGAGGCCTTACAGCATGCCTGGATTCACATTGTGTCCAAAAAGCCTGCAGCATTGTTTATTTGTAACTGTTTAATAAACTTTTTATTTCCTATATTCACATATAGGTCAGTTTAACATCATGTCCAACACCTAGTTCATGTTCTTCTGAATGAAGTCTTGTGTAACAACCCTTGTCTGTGGAAAACATTCAAGTATGATCTACAGCAACAACAGAAAGTCCTGAAATTGGATCCTGTTAAACTGGTGTTACTGTGTCAAAAGGCTCAAACAGGGCCAATCAGCTTGCTTGAATTTATTTTTCATTAAAAGATCTGGAAATGTTTACAGTGTCTCTGTATTGATTTATTTTAAAGACATTAAATGGGAAGGTAGAATTTCTGGTTAATTAAATAATTAGGATGTAAACAAAGTCATTCAGAGTGGTTTGGTGTGAAATGTACCGTTGTAGAGAAATAGAGTTGGAATTGTTCATAGTTGTGGTAATAGGAACCAGATATCCTAAGTCAGCATATTTACATAAAGCATAAAGTTGTTACCTAAAATTGTGACAAATCTGATGCCTGAGACGTTGTGTTTAGATAGTTTGGAGACAAAATTTTGGCCTAAAACATATTTTTGCTGGACCACCCAGCAGGCCAGCTCACAAAAGTCTGTGTGTCTTAGTGAGTCACTGAATGACTGACTGATGTCAATTGTTAAAATGTGTATGCACACGTCACCTGAGACAAGCAGCAGGTGGCGCTATACACCATGAAAATGTTGCCTCTCGAACAATACCGATGCTACCAAAATAAGGATTAAAAAAAGGAAGGAGAAATGTATTCATTCATGGGTCTTTCGATAACTGTGACCTAAATACGGGTGAAATAACACAACGGTAAGTGCTTAAATTTGTGCTTGAGCTATGTCTGACTTCAGGTTTTTTTTTCCAGAAAATTTTCCTTTCAGCCAAGTTAATTTAACTGGTGTCAGTTCACCAATTTTCTCTGCTGAGGCCAAATATTATTGATATTGTACTCCTTATTTATGCCAGATGTCTTTCTCTGTCTTTGTTACTGGAATCAAGATCATTGTGCGGAACGACTGTTGACTCCTAAATTTCTGTAATTAATCAGTCCTATGTAGCATAGTGCCTTGAATACCACTGCTATCATAATAAGAGTCCCAAATAATTGTACTGTTAACAACATTTGCTTGAGCAATTAGTGAACCTTCTTCATCTTCTTTTATAATAACAATAATTATTATTATTATTTTTATTACATACAGTGATGTAAAGTTAAGCTAGCTAATGTTAGCTAGCTTAGCTAATTCAATGTAATTTTACACTGCAACAATTCTGAAAATAGCAATTGAAACTTGAAAATAAATCCTATCCTGTATCCTGTCCTACATCCTGTGTTTCATACAGTTACGTGACAAATGCCATGCAGCTGATGGCAGTCCAGTAAAACTAGGCTTGCCTAGTCTTGTTTAAAAGACATTTATGGCGGAGAGATACATGCAGGGTTTTATTTCCCGGTCTTAATACTATTTTACTGTTATCAACATTATACAACTCAGAATATGTGTAGGTAGACTGGTGGTTTTAGATACTAAGTAATATGGTTGTATTTGTGTGGTAGACATTGCGATCCCTGGCTCCTATCACCACCACTGTAAAGAAATCTGAGCCTGGAAATTTCTCTAGAATGGAGCATTTCAGCTTAAACCACTCTGACTAATTTTGTTTACATCTCAAAGACTGGATTACACAGACGTTTTAAAAATTGGTGGAATTCCCCTTTAAGATTTTTAAGGTTTCTGACTTCTTTCCCAGTTAGGCTGTTTTCAGCAAAAGGGTGTTTGGTCTAAATCTGTGTTGAGATTTATTAAAGCTGTTCCTCCGGTATTCTTGTGCAAACTGTGCAGGACATGTCTTCATCCAGCACTGATGAGAACAGCTTCTACTGTAGTTGTTCTTCACCACACATTGTTGCGTAATCTCTTGCCAGTTCTCATACCAGAGGGGCTGACCTCACCCGGCCAACCCGGTGATCGCCAAGGAGAATGTCAATATTGATAGCGTTTGTCCATTGTTTTGTGCTCGGAAACGAGTACCCCCTGCATTGCTATAAAGCAAATTGATTTAAGACAGAACAAAAAAAATGCTTGTAAGACAGCAGCTGGACAGCACAAAGAGCTCCAGATTCCTGTCCACTGTCTTCACCGCTTGAAGAAACCCCACGTGAAAGTTGGGAAATCTTGTTTAGCAGTTGCCAAGCCCCCTACAACTGCAATACTAGCCCACTCATCTCCTGCCCATACCTATAAAAACCTGGAAGCATGGTCCATTTCTCACAGTGCTGATGATGCACTTGGCAGTGTTTTCTTATTTGTTCGTGTACCAGGGCTTGGGACAGTTCTGAACTGAGCCAAGCATTAATGACTGATTACAGTTCAGTGCCTGCAAATGTAGTTCGATGTATTTTGATTCAGTGAATCTGAATTTCAGTGCTCATGAATTCCATGAGACTGCTCTAATGGGAAATGAAATTTAGTTTAAAAAGAATAGGCAAATAAAAGAAAGTCAATTTCAGAACAGAAATGTACATAAAACTGAACAGCACTTGAAAGAATATTACAGAGAAAAAAAAACTAAATGTCAAGTATGGATGTGCAGTGATAGTGCAATCATATGACTATCAGAATATATATGCTTTAAAAAAAGGAATTGGAAAGATGTTTAGATTTAACAGCTATTTCAGACTGATATTTGTATTTCTTGTGCCTCAGAAAAGCTGCATGTTTCTATGACTCCAGGTTACTGTGCTAAGTATCTGCTTTTTTTTTTACTGCATTTGTCACACGTAACTGGAGTTCACCAAGAGTGTAATTCCAGAATTACTTAAAAATCTCATTACGTTAACTCACATTAAAAGACTGTTTTTTCTTCATCCTATAGCATTTTAGAAATAGGAGGTTTTGGTTTCAGTGATGAAACACAGGTTTGTTAAGCGTAGTACATTCTACAGTCATAGGTAGTGCTTTTGACTAATACTGCTTTGCTTCTCCTGATTAGATTGATTATTATAGTCATCATGTGTTTCAGCCGTACTGCTGAAGTTTGACTTTCCATCTCTTTCTCCCTGTCTCATCCTTCTCACAGCAACTGTAACATTTATATCCCTCTTCTGCTTTATTTACATTCACTTGCTGCACTTTCTTTATTCAGGCCTGTGCCATTCCAGCTCCTCTCTTTTTACCTCCATCTAGGAATGCATCTCCCTCTCTGGATGTGCCTCATCCCTTCTGTCTTTCCCTGCTTTTTATTTTGTGTGTGTGTGTGTGTGTATGTGTATGTGTGTCTCTTATGAAATGTACAGTACAAGTCGTTTTACTGTCTGACTGTGAAAAGCTAATGGAAGGGGGCTAAATATTTTAAATAGACTTTCAGATTCCCTGCCTTCTCATTCAGGCTTATGTTAGAACTGTGAGCATGATCCTTTTTTTTCAACTCTAAGTTTGGAAATGACATGACATCACTGACTCAGTTTAGAAAGTGAGGCACAAGAAAGTTGAAGCATGCTCAGCAGTCCCACCATGGCAGATAGTAACACAAGCTCAGCTTCATCTCAGCTTCGTCTTCTCTGTCTATATCAGTGTTACAGGGCCAGTATGTAGTGCTGTCAGGGTTGTACAATCATATTTAACACCAAATTACATGTTTTGTTGATTTTATGAGTGAAAATAAATTAACACATCCTCTATAGGGAACAAACTTAAACATGACATTTTCTGCTCATTTTAATGCACAATTTCTATTTATTTGCTGAGTTTAAAAATATATATATATAATGTGCTCCAACTTTTGCACATGCTACATTTTACATTTTATTTTTTTCCAATATGTTAAATTCAGCTAATAAACTGTATTTATTTATTATATTTTTAATGTGTGCAGAAGTGTGTTCTCTTTGGAGGATGTGTTAACTTATTTTCACTTAGAAAATCAACTAAACATGTCATTTGACCAGCGGCGCCCACACTTTGTTATTTCACACGTAGCGTTCAACTTTCAAATCATGTAATTTAGACCGCACTTAAAATTACAGTTATCTCTGCAGGTATGACCTTCCTTTTAAATCTTTTACAGCCTCGAAAGCCTGTCTGCATCACATGACTGCACAGCTGAGATGGCCTATTGTATGTTCCTCTGCAGCTCGCCATGTTTTTTTTAAGAGCGGCAAATTTACAAGAGCTATCAAGTAAGATAAACTAACCTTTTCAACAATATGAATATATTGTGGTTTCTGTCACTCTAATAAAAATGTGGTTCTGCAAACATCTTGTGTGGTCTGGTATTTCAAACTGTAATGGGGCTATTTCCCCCTGATAATAACAGCTGTTGTCATTCTTGACTCATGGATGGTGGCTGTTTTTGCAGCGATGCTAAGAGAGAGAGTTCTTTGAGAGACCCACGGGGTCTATTAAATAAACAGCATCTTTACTGAAGTTTAAACCAACCGCCACTTCTAAAAAAAAAAAAACACAGACAAATTGGAAGAGCTTGACAATGTGGAGCTGCTCCCTTTGCCTTCAGCGTCTGTGGAGGCTTGGACTTGGAATGGGAGATGGCCAAAGATGGACGGGGACAATAAATACTCCATCCTATAAATAGTTCCAAAGACAACCTTTAGAAAGCCCTGCATTTACTATGCATTTCACTGTCTCCTAATGTTCACTAAGACAACCGGAGCAGACTCTGTGCTGGCGGGTGTGTTGGACGGGAACCATACACATTCTTGACTCCCCTAGGTTGCTGTTGGTTCATCTGAGCTCAGCCAATGCACTCTGTCACCCCGTGTCTTCTCTCTCGGCCCGGTCCACAAACAGCGTAGTTTCTGGCCCAGCAAGAGACTGCATCTGGGTGCCCGTGCGCACAGCTGTATTTTATGACATTCTATCCTCTGGCTATGTATTATTACTGAGAAAACTGCCAAAGGAATCTACCCCTGTAAACATGGTAAATAATGTATGCAATGCAAAGAGCTGTAGGTTGGGAAGACATGTAGCTAGGAAAATGCTCTTTGGGATCTGGTTTAGTTTTCCTCTGCCAGAAATTTTAAATTTAATTTACAATGTTTTGCTATGAAGGATACAGCCATCATTGTCCAGACCTGTGTCTGGAAACTGAGCTAGCACTCAGGGGATATGGTGAACTAGGGTAAGGCCCAAAACTGCAGTATAACATTTACGCCTGCAAAACACTGTGCGAGATGTAACAACGTTTAAGGAGTAGCAAAAGGGCATCAAATTAGTTTTCGTAGTTTGCATAGAGTA